CTCTGATATCATGTGACAATAGAGAGAGAGAGAGAGAGAGAGAGAGAGAGAGAGAGAGAGAGAGAGAGAGAGAGAGAGAGAGAGGGAGAGAGAGAGGAAGGGAGGTCGTTTTGGTTGGCTTGGTTTTATCGGTACAGTTTAAACCCCCGAAAAAGAGAAAATAAGAGTGTAAAGCCCCCCAAAAAAAGGCGAAGAATTGCGTACTTTCTGCCGGCTGAAAAGAGGATACTTCTATTCAGCTGCGTGCCCAGCTCAAATGGCGTACTATTCTTTCAGCTGAAAAGAGGCTACCAAAGAATACCGTGGGCAGGGCAAGTGGTCCCCACACACTCTGGTAGCCTAGGTGTATTTGTTTGAGTGATAGGCCTTTCTCTTCCCTTGTCTTTTCTTTGATCTTTCATTGGATCCCTTTCTCTTTCTCTTGCCTCTGTGAGGTTTGGTTTCCTCCTCCTTTTCTTTACGTTTTTTTGGCCTTTTGGCTGCATGCAAGTGGGTCCTTGTGACACGGGGGGGATGGGGACAGCCAGCGCTCAACCTGTCATCCACGTGGCTGGCCGTGTACGTAAGAGGTGATGAACAGGCGCGGAGCTTTCCTTCCTTCCTTTTTTTTTTTCTTTTTTTTTTTTTGGTTGTCTTTTTTGTTCTTTTTCCGCTTTTGCGCGCCGATGCACAGTGTGACAAGATATGGGGGCAGGCGCCGCTCAACCTACATCCACGTGGGCGGCCTTGTACGCAAGAGGTTCTGAACAGGGGGAGTTATGAGGAAGAAGATAACAAACTGAATTCATTTTTCCCGGTTTTCTTTTTTTTCTTTCGCATTTACGCTCTGATATTCTTGGGACAATATATGTAATATTCATGTGACGATATCTGCCTACGGTTTACCGGGCAGCTCTGTTTGACTATATATATGACACACGGGGGTGGGGGCAGCCGCCGCTCAAACTACATCCACGTGGGCGGCCTTGTACGCAAGAGGTTTTGAACAGGGGGAGTTCAAAGGAAGAAGATATAAAAAAACGAATTCGTTCTTTTTTTTCTTTTCTTTTCTTTTCTTTTTTTTTTGCGCTTTTGCGCTCTCATATTCATGTGATGATATATTTGCGCTCTGATATTCATGTGGCGATATATATTGTCGCACTGTAAATCAGAGCGCAAAGGCGGAAAAAGACAGAACAAGAAAAAGAAAAAGAAGGAAGGAAAGCCCCACCTGTTCATCACCTCTTACGTACAAGGCCAGCCACGTGGACTACAGGTTGAGCGCTGGCTGCCCCCATCCCCGTGTTTCACAAGGACCCACTTGCACGCAGCCAAAAGGCAAAAAAGAGATGTAAAGAGGAGGAGGAAACCAAACCTGACAGGGAAAGAAAGATAATCCAATTGCCACAAAGCAAATAACACA